AAGAAACAGATTTGGATTTGGCTGGTGGAAGAAGATGCAAGACACAGTTAGGATAGTAGACATGCTTTATTCAATAGTGCCCCTGGACATTAGCCAACCCGAGTTTCAGCTTCAGTCCCCAGCCAGTTCCATTTTAGCCCTTCCCCTCTCAGCCCATTTCCTTCGTCCCTTTATATATGCAGGCCAAACAAAGGAGTCACATTGCCAACAGGTTACATCATTGGACACATGCTCACAAGTTAATGTTTATGACCTTGAAAACATATCTTGCCTTGACTAACCACAACATAGTGGGTTCCCGGCCCTGGCTACACTAAAAACATAACATAGCCCACCAGAAGGAAGCCTAACTATAGCTATTTGGGGGCCTGCCCGACCAACAATGTTTGTGCAGTAACCTCATATCATGCTGTTGAAAGTTAATACACCTTGACATTTGGAAAAAGATGATAGAGATCAAGTTGTTAAAAATTTAAAAGAAAAATTGTCAAGTCTTAACATTAGGTTCAAAACTTTTAACTGTAAGACATGTCAAGGAAAATCTGTCTTGGTTTCTGTTTATCTCATGAAGACAAGGTGAAAGGTTCCAATCTCTATTTGAGCCAAGTTTTATGAGAGAGCTGATAAACTGATTCATTCCAGTATGAATCTCTCCACCCTGGGTCTTCCATGACATCCTCATGACAATTTCTAACCAGTTCAGCTCTACTTTTCGAGCTTAATAACCAAGTATACAATTATATGCTTTAAAAAAACACTCAAAACTACATACTTATAAATACTTCCATATCAGTATCTCAGGAAAAAATCATAATGATATATGCTTGGAGGTAAATTATTTAGTGTGATGTATATACAACCAATTTTGTTTCAAGTTGGAATGATCTATTAGTATCAAACATTTACAATTCACTGTGTCTCTTAAATTTCTACTCAGAACTCAAACCACTGTCTATTTTAGTTCAGATTTGAGGGCATTAAGTCTCAGATTATTAATTAGTTCTTACTACAGTTCTGAATAAGAACCTGATATTTCAGGTCTCAACATCCAAAAAACACAGTTTAGAATAGTTCATATCTAAGTCACACATACAGATTCCATTGCTATGATAATCCCTTAATACAAAACTTCAATGGCTTCTGTAAGTTATCAAACTAAACAACATCTCCTGGATCTTATCCATCTAGGAAACAATAAGCTTCTGCTTATTTTTTTTTTTTTAATATTGATCAGCCAACTTTGGTTGGATACTCATCAATATCGGGAAGTAGTTCAAATAAGAAGAAGTCATAATACATAGTAAGTAAGTGTAAATAGATTCAGGGGAATTGGTACAAATGTGGCTAACAAATTGATAAAAGAGAAACTTGGTATAATGTTGTGAAGAAAAGTGAACGACATGTTGAGAAGTTTGGGCTTTTTATTCTAAACAATGCAAAGTCATTAAAGCTTTGGAATCAATGATTATCATGATTATATATAAATTTTATGAAGAACTCAGGTGGCACAGTGGGTGACAGACAAGAATAAGGAATAAGGAATCTATAAATCATTAGGGGCTTATAGAAAAACTATGGAGCATATTTTGTACTTTTGAAAGTAAAAGAATACATATAGAGGTAAAGAGAGTTTTGGGATAGATGTAAATTCCTAATCAATAGAACCTTAATAAAGCTTTGTTAAGGACAGGACAAAGCATATAAAATTTAAATTTTATGTAGCATATAAAATTACAATTTTAATTCAATAAAGATTACTTATTAAGAGCTCATTTCTACTAGAAAGTAATATCAGACATCAACCAGGATAGGAAATGCAGGAGGAGCAGGTTGGCAATAAAGACTGAGCTAATAAAGGTTTGGGTGTCTTTAAGTCATCAAATAAAAGTTCTACTAAAACCAATTGGAGATACTGAGTTTTGGAAGAGCTCAAAAAATGATTAAAATCTCTTCAGTTTGCTGGTGAAAGGTTCTATCTATCTTAGGGAAATAGAATTTTAGTACAGTTGATTTTCAATAAAGGTTTGATATGTGGCTGAATAAATGCTGTATCTCAAATTCTGGCAGAAATTCTTCATGCCTTTTATAAACTAGAGCAAATTTTTTAAAATAAGAGGGAGGGGTGAACATAGTAACTCATCTGACAAGAAAATGATTATTATATTTTACATTTGAGAAGTTAAAGTCACAAAAGAATTGAGAAGGAAATCTGAAGGGACAACCATTCTGGATGAAAGAAAAGTAGAAGATGGTGAGAACAGCTTTGGAAAAGAACAAGAACACCAAACGCTTCCTTCTAAGACAGGAAAAATATTTCTAAAGCTGAGATTCATGAGAGTGGAAATGCCATATCTGAACAGATACCTAATTCTTATCTCTGGCCCTAATCTTTCCTCATACTACAGTTGATCTTCTACACTCCCAAAATATTCATCTTCTTATATAAAATTACTCATATAAATCACCAACTTTTATTTTGTGACTTATACCAAGTATATAAATCCAAATTAATCACTTGGGTATTGAAAGAATTTGCAAAAACTACCCTCATCTGTGTCTATTAGATAAATTATAAGAATAAAGAATTTGGATAATATAATAATTTATGCTTAATTAATGGAACTATCTTCAAAGTAGGACATGACATGAACCACATATTGTTTTTGAATGTTATATTCAAATCCTATTTGAACAATCCAAAATACACTTAGAAATAAAAATCAGAAATAAAAAAGGAAAATAAGAAATAGAGTAGGTACTAAGCAGAATTAATAAATGAGAAAAAATAGCAAGCAAGCAAATAATTTCACTTTATAGTTTTTTAAAGAATCAATAAAATATGCAAATTGCTGACCTACATAATAAATGAAAATAAGGAAAAATGCATAAAAATTAGAAATTATAGGAAGTTTACTAAACATTCAGCAATTATTTTATAAACCACAAGACTGTTATTTATAAGTATATGCTAGTAAAAGCTTAATAAAATTGGCAATGTAGTACTTCAGAAAATGTCATAATGAAAATTAACTAAATATTTAAGTAGAACTTCTACAAATTTCAAAGAAAAATTAGTAAAATTATTTAAAATTTTTTAAAATATCACCTTTGAAATTAATTATAGACCCTAATTATTTTGCTAGTAAGATTTTTTCCAAAATAGTCACTCCACATACATTTGCAAAGTTTCCAATGTGAATATCACCTTCTTAAATACCAAAAAAATAAGTACTAAAATAAAGTGAGCAAGAAAATATACTATATGTCATTCTCACTTTGGAACACCTTTCAAAACTTCAAGTAGATAAAAATGAATTCAATTAAAGTATGTAATAAAAGACCAGCTATGCAAGGGTAACATACTACTAGCAAATCAATTGATCAAAGATAAAAACCAAATCATAAGAGTAAAATGTATGTATTTATATAGTTCAAGATTTCTAGAACATCCACAGGCATATCTGATAATTTATTTTACAAAGAACAGGGTAACAGAAAAAGAGTAAGAATCATACAAATAGTCAATGCAATACTTAAATGACAATCATCTAAGTCATTCCTAATAATTAGGAAGAAAAAAGATTTATTCACAGTTATTTTATGTTGATCTGAAAGCCATCGTCAAGGCAATAAGTACTGAACTCAAAGTTTAAAATCATGAGAATGAAAAGGAAAAGATAAAATAGTCTCTAAAATTTTTTATTGGCAAATAATAGGGTTTTCTACCCAGAACCACAAAAGAACCATCTGAAGAATAACCAAAATTAATAAAAACCTAAATGAAATGTTAGGATTAAAAAATTGCACAAATTAGTATTATTTTTCTGATTTCACACAAAAAACGATTTGAATGTAATAAATAATTTTGCAATATCTAACATTCATGGGCTAGGCCCTGTTATAAGCACTTTACCCATATCAATTCAGTTAATCCTCAAGGCAACCTGCCTGTCAGCCAGGTATGCCTTATTAGCTCTTGCAGATGAGAAAGGAAAGGCAAAGGACTTGGCCAAAGTCATACAGAAAACAAGTGGCAGCCAACTGCATAGTTAGTGTGAGACAGAGGAGGTGAACACACATTTTATATCATCTTCAATCTAATTTCTTAAATTCCTATACTAGACTGTGTTTTTTATGTTGAAAATATTCAGCAATATATATATGTATATAAAGGGTTAACTAGTTATGCCAAGTTTGGAGAATAATAATTATTTTATTCCTGTTTTTATCCATTCATTATGAACATGATAAGTAATAAGAAAAATGTAATAAATGTAATTTGGAAGCTCTTTGCTTGGGTCATGAACTTATAGAAAAATCAGTATGTTAGATACTTCCCTATTATTCAACAGCATTAAAGGACTTCACATCCATTTTGTTGATACTGGGACTGTCACAAATTTAAGCAGGAAGTTTCAAGGGTGATAGTACTCAGTTACTGCCAAGTGATTATACACAAGAATAAAAATGATTTAGCCGTTTCTACCTCAAAACTGAAGAAAGAAACTCTTATTGAAGATGATTTCCAAAGTAAAATTGGATCAGTTTACCAAAATATGAAGTGTATGAGTGTACTGAATTTGATAACATTTAAAACATAGATAATTACATATCTGTTAAAGCCCATCAGATAGGATTTTATAATTTTCGTATAAGAAAAAAAAAGTCACACAATTATCTGTGAGAGAACTTTATATGTAAATTTTTACATATAATCCTTCCTACAAAATGCTTGCTAAATATATTTGCTGGTAGCAGATAAGTTAATTTTGTCACACATCAGAGGAAAGTGATAAACAGTTCACAGAATTACATGTGATAGATTCACATTTTAGGGTAATAATTTAATAAGTAAAAAGAAAATCTAGCGATTCCAATTTTTCTTATAAACAGAACTGAAGCATAAATGAATACCAGTAATTCAGTTTTCTTGTTTCAGTTCTCAGAAAGATGTATTAACTACTAATAAATAGGGTGAAATTATAAGTAGTTCCACTCACCATTTGGAAAGAATGCTTGGAATTTCATGTGGACTATTATCCCAGTAAAATTCCTGAAGATCTAAAATATGAGTATGATTGAAGGGGATTAATAAAACATACTTTATATTCGATTTTGCAATATGTTAATCCCATATGATCTTTATCTTATACTTATTTCAGACTTTCATGAACGTACATTCAGACTCATGATTTTCATTTAATACAAATATCATCTAAACTCAGGAAGTAACATATCTTCTATTTATTCACACACTACCTTTAGTGCTAGAAGCTCCCCTCCAGGTGCCTGCCCTCAACCTCAACCCTGACCTGCAGGAACCACCCTGTGCAGTTAAAAGAAATAATCCACTCTGAACTCTGACTGATACTTCCCTTAAACCAAATCAAGAAACTGCACCACCAGGTTCTTATTTTTTAATGGTACTTGGAAAACATTTGTGGGAAAATTGCTTTATAATATTTCCATGTGATATGAGGGGATTTATATCCTAAAATTGTTTCAGTCCACATACTAGGGAACCTAATTTATAAGTTTAGCAATTATATAACCTGTGGAAGTGTATTTATTCGCATGTAATGATGTTTATTTCATATTATAATAATAGTATAAGTGCCAAATGCCTTTATAAAACCATTTTTTAAAAATCCTAATTTTTTTTAAAAGATGAGGAAAATGAAGTTCAAGGAAAGAGATATGAGGCGGCTAAGATTTTAGCTTAGAAGCAGTTCTATGACCAGATTCAAAGTCTCAGGCTTCAGCTCTTGCTTTTAAAGCACAGTGTGGAAGTTCTGATTCTTACCAGGCATTGACTGGAGCACTGGGGATTCAGCAGGAAACAAGATATAAAGAGCCTGGTTTCATGAAGCTTAATTCTAATGAACTTGGTTCGTGAAAATATTGAATATATTTTTCATCAGTATAATTAATATGCATGATAATTTAACCAAGACACCAAGATTTCGGAATGCAATTGTAGGATGAGGCAAGCCTGGTTTCCAATGACTCTCCTTTCTTTAACACACATTTGGCCCACAAAGTGCTAAATTAACATTTAAATATCTTTGACCTATAGATGAACATTTTGTGCAAAGATGAAACTTTCAAAAATTGAAAGAAACAAATATTTTTCCACTGAATGCTTTAAAAGGACTCTTATATTTGCTTATTGATTTGAATCTGTGTCAACTTCCAGGCTCAGTGTGAAGCTTAGGAACATGCTGTAGAGATTAAAAGTTCACATGTACAAATGAGTAAATAGATTCCACATGGAAGAACAAAATGAAGACTTTGAGATAGACCCATTCTGCAAATCATTTCTTAACTACTGTTCCACATTTGGCAGAGTTTGCAAAATGCAATGAGATGGTTTAAAATTAAAAGATTGAATTTCTGTACTACTAGAACATATTTCTTTCCTCATTTTTATACCTCCTACCAAATAAGATATAACTACATTGTTCTTTAGTTGCATTACATTCATGACTTTGGAAATATCATTTTAGAATGATTTTCACATCAGGCAATTGGGATGTTTTCTTCATTATAAAAATATGAGCTGAAGTCTTGAAGACTAAAGCCCAAAACAATGCACTAAACATAAGGCTAGATTGCCAAGTCCTGTATAAAATTACAGTTTTGTCTATAATTATAATGATTATAATAAAGACATGTAGAATGTTACTAAGTACAATGTGATTATGGTTAGATTTCTTGTGAGAGGTGGTCCAAAGTTTGTGAATTTTGGTATTGTCTCAATAAAATTAGGTATGCCTCTGTTTTAGCAGTCAATTTCCAGATTCTCTATAAACTCTCTGAGTATGACATTCAGCAAACTGAATTTGTGACTAGATTTTACCAAGAAGAGTCAGTTTTTAGACTAGATCCATCAGGGAAAGCCTATTGTTCCTTCATCAGAAAGAGGTAATTAACTCAGCACCTGACCCATGGTCACATACTGGTTATCCACAGAACTAAATCTGGTGAATGTCCCTTAACTAATGAAATTAATTAAGAATCTTTTCTGTGTCATAGTTAAATTAGAAAGTGTTTCATTCTTTTCATCTCATATACGTGGGACATAAAAGCATTTTTGGCAGATGTCATAAAAATGCAAACATATATTTATACTCATTGTTAAATGTTACTATGCATATATATATTTTGCTATAGGAGACATTCATTAGAAATGTTTGAACTTGAAATATATGTCTTCTGCTTCTAGTGATCAACTTCATTATATAAAGACACTATCTGTATCATCTTCTCAAAATTATGACATTAAGAAATCATAACTAATCATATCACCAAGATTTGTAACCATTGTCTTTAGTCACGTTTATCCTACTTCATTGGAAAAAATTTTGTCCAGTAGATGAGACATACTACAGGTTTTTATCAACTACCTACTACATCTAGAATCAAATTTAATCCATTCTAAAGAAACACTCAGAGCATATTGTCTTATGATCCTGTTTCTAATCACTGCAATTATATAAATCTTGGTTGTGAGATTTGGGTTTTTAAAAAATATCAAATATTGATATGTCCCTTTCTTATTCTATTTTTTAACTTTACAATTTTACTCTGATTCATTTCCATGAAATGTCAAACATGGTCTTTTAATAGTGTGTGTGTGTGTGTGTGTGTATGTGTGTATGTGTGTGTGTGTGTGAGAGAGAGAGAAATACTGGGGATTGAAGCCAAGGTGTTCTACCATTGAGGTCTACCCTCAGCCCTTTTTATTTTTCATTTTATTTTGAGATAGGGTCTCACTAAATTGCCCAGGCTGGCCGAGAACTTGTGATCCTCCTGCCTCAAACTTCCCAAGTCACTGGGATTACAAGCATGCTCCAACAGTGCCCAGCATCTTTTCATAGTTTTATTTTACTTGTTGCTTGGAATTCAGGGGTCAAATAAAACACAAATGATAGAAACATTATTTAACTCTCATTCATTTCAAATAAGGCATTATCAAGAAATCAAATGCTCCTGATATAAACAAGCCGTTTTGGTGAGGAATATATTTCCATAAACTTGCCAGTTATCATATTTTAAACAGTTTTCTAAGCTGTTTTCACAATGTATTTGCTATTCTGGGGTTAAAAGAAAGGACAAAGAAGAAAAAAACTAATGGGGGAAGAAAACTCTAATAATGATGATAAAAGAATTTACCACATGTCCATTGTGAGTCATTGAAGAGTTTAAACAGGGGCGGGGGCATGACTTGATTTACCTCCTTATGACATTATACTGGCTGCTCAGTGGAGAACAGATGGAAGAGTGGGAATTGGGCAACTCTAGAGAGGGAGAAAAGTTGAAAGGCTACAGTTGTGGTCCAGGCATAACATACTGGTACATTCAATTAGGATGGAGGGAAGCTGAAGCAACCCAGATGTCTGAAAAATGAACTGTGGAAAAGAAAATAAAGGACAGCTTACTTTGGTGAGCTTGCTGTCTTCTCGTCCTTTTAAATGTAATTTTTCTGCAGGTTACTGTGCCTATTTTTTCTCTTCCTCCTCTCACCATTTGACTTTGAGTCTACCAATATTCTATTTCTTAAGCGCTGATGACCAACACATCTGTATCTCCAATTCAGTAAATACATCCAGTGCCATATTCTGACCTCTAGGCCCAATATTCAAAGACCTACTTGGTACCTCCACTTGGCCAGCATATGTAAACTTCAAACAAAATGCATCTTAACATTGAACACTAAATACTCCTTACATTTTTCTCCAAAAGCTCCTTTTTATTCCTATTGTTGAATAGCTTCAGCATTCACCCACTAACTTAAAACAGATGCCTGGGTATTAACCTATACTAATTTGCATTTTCCACTTTGACCAAATTTGACATTGATCCAGACTTGTCAATATTATTTTGTTCATATCCTACATCAACTTATTTCCTCTCTTTTCCACTCCTCTCTTTGCCTCTCCATCCCTGCCACTCTGGCTTTATTTCATGTCTCAGTGTAACCCAAATAAATCATTTAATGCCTCTTATTGTGCAATCCCTATTTGTGCTTCGTATTGCTGCCAAAAGTCTCTTTCTAAAATGTACAGCTCAGTTGCTCTCCTGCTGAAAACCCTTTAAAAGTTCTCCACTGCCATGGTCTGCAGCATGGGATTTCTGTGGTGTCCAAAATCTGGCCTGTTCTTGCACCTGATCTTGGCTCATCTCTCTCATCACAATCTATTTACAAGCTTTAGCCATAGCATGTACCAGAAAACTTGCTTCATGTCTTTCTCTCCTCTCAATGGCTTCATGTCAGAAATATATCCCCTTCTCTGTCCATGAAAAATTCTATTCCTGTACATCCAGTTTCTGACGGAGTTTCCTCTGATAAAGAAATATTCCCAAGACTAGCAGGAGGCATTCTTTTTGGTAATTTTACTGTGTTGTACAATGTTTTCACACAACAATGTAAACACAAGAGACTTCATCAATCTCACACCTCTAACCTCAGCATGCTGCTCTTTTCTTGATAACCCCACAACATGGTCAGAGATTCAATACATTATTGATGATAGTCTAGAATGAATAGAGGAAAACCATGAATTAATGAATAAATGATTTATCCCAAAGTCCTACTAAAAACACTTACACAACCAAATAATTGTTAAAAATCCTCTTCCCATTTTAAAGTAAAGCCCACTAAAAACAACACAGCTATGTTATATACATGGTCTTGTATATGAAGAACAAAGTGTCAACACAGGGCAAATCTATTAGGCTAACTATTGAAAGACATAAGCCATTTTATGGACTTTGGCTAGAGGTAAACTTACAAAACAATTCCAAGTTAAAACTCTAAGCTTCAGAATTTAGGGAGAAGGAAAGCAACAAATGTTAGCTGCATACTCAACTTAAATTCAGTTGGCAGTATTTCTTGATATAGCTTAAAGATGTCATATCTCATCACCAAAACTCACCATCAACAAAGCATATGAATAGCTTCAGGTCATCTGCAAATAGTGATTTAAAAAAAAATATGTAATATTATTCATGTAGTTGCATTAGAACTACTCTTATCCAGTGGTACAGATGAAAATGAT